ACTGCTCGCATGATAGAAATAGTTCTCATTGAGTGATGGTGTCTCCTCTTGCCGAGGATCTGAACTCTAACTTGTCAATATTTTGCCATGGTCCTGCAAGAAAGTCATAAACTCTATCTTTTTCAATAAAATTCTTCAGGATCGCAGCATCCTCCAGACATCTGGTTTCAATGCACCTATAATGATCAAGTTCCTGCCACAGATTTTGTATAATGGTAGCAAACTCCATCACGGTCTTACTCCCCTGCTTCGTGCTTCCAACTTTGACTTTAACTTCAAAGATTTGAGCCGCATCACAAGCTTTGGAGAAGGTTTGTCTGGCAGCATCCCATATGTCCTTTGCAGTCGAAAGGAACATAAATGTATCACTAATTTCTGGAGTCATGGAATTCCACATCCATGACATAATCATGGAGTCTGCTTCATCCCATGCCCCAAATTTGGGATCTCCTTCTTTTGGTCCTCTAAGGAGGTGAGGTATTTTACCTTTCCCCTTCAAGTAGGTCTTCACAAATTGAGACCACTTCAGGTAGTTCTTCCCATTTAGACGATAGGAAGGTTGAATGCTTTGAAGGTCACCTCGCCCTTGGTGCACCATCGACTCCTCAGTTTGTTCAATACTGTCGGAGGAATTAATTTCTGACATTATGATAGTAATTAAGACTATCTGTATGTCTGTGGTTAGCAATGAAGGCTTCCCAAAAACTTTTCCTTGATCGACAATAAAGGTTGAAATAAGAGTTTTTTTTTTTTTGAAATCTTCCCGATTATTTAAACGGGCCAAGCCGAGTCTTTAAAAAAGACTCGGTTTGTTTTGGGTAACTAGGGCACGCACGAGCGGGAGGCGGCTTCGTTCCTTCGTCGACTTTCCCTTTTGGTCGGATCGGTATGTACGTTGCTCGGCTCCTTCGTCTCCTTCGTTTCCTTCGTGATTGTTCGAGTAGGCTTCTTCGACGATTTTCCCTCCCTATCGGATCGGGATGCTCGCCGTCCACTCCTTCTGTCGGCTCGGGAGAAGGTCGCTGAAGACGACGCGCGGACGGACGCTCCTCCGGATACGTCGGACGTTCGACTTTCTACCTTCGACAACTTCGACCTTCCTCTCGGATCGGAAGTTCTGATCGATGCTTCGGCTCCGACTTGTTTCGTCGCGGCGTACACGGGTCGGCAACGATCAAGTCCGAGCTTCTTCTTTTCTCTTCCTCCTCCGACGATCTAAGATCGTTCTCTGACGGCAATTAAGGTCGTTGGCTCTGATACCATGTTGAAACAGAGAATTTGAGAGGGAAAAGCTTGAATTTTATTATACAATCTACTCCATATTTATAGATCTATACAAGGTGTATTGATAAGGAAACAAATAACTCTTATAATAATGAAAATACAATTATTCCTAAATCAATGGAAGGAATTAATGCTATCCAGGTAGACTTCCCACGGATTACTGTTCTCAGCCGTTGATATCTTTGGGATCGTAAGGTTGAGATTTCACACTAACGGAAAAAAATAGCAAAATATAATTGATCCTCAATTCAAGAGGAGGATCTATCTCTCCCAATCCCTAGACGCCACAAGAGCCCAAGTCACTAAACTCCAAAGAACGAAATCAGCTACAATAATTTGCATGCCCTAATCCTCCTATTTTTCTCCTACTTAAAGCATATACCAATGCCCTAACCCGAGACCCCCCCCCCCCCCCCCCCCCCCCCCCTCCCCTTCCTAATCACTCCTAGCGGGCCCCAACCATAGCTTGGGCAGCAAATTCAAGAGGGCATACTAGCTTTGGTCCGTCTCTTGTAGAATTGAACCGGCCCCTTGCCAAGGGCCAGTTGGATCGGTCCAATAGGGACCGATCAAACAATGCCCCACTCCCAAAGAATTATATTTTCCTTAAGGTGAAATGAGGGAATTGATGCTTCATCCTCTCACAAAACTCCCATGTGGCATCATAGTCCGGTAGGCTCTTCCATTTGATCAAGACTTCCTTAATTCCCTCATGCCCCTGACGAACCCCCATCAACTCCGATGATTCTAATAACACTTCCAAGTCCTCAGTTAATGCCATTGGTAACTCAGAACTCGTGTGATCTCCAATTGCCATCCTTAGTTGTGATACATGGAAATGGGATGTATGGTTTCTGCCGATGGTAGTTTCAGCCGATATGCCACCACTCCAATCCTCTTTAATACCTCAAATGGCTCATAATACCTTGGGGCCAACTTCTCATTCCTCTTGTTGGTGATGGTCTTCTGCATGTAAGGTCGGAGCTTTAAAAACACCCTCCCCTACCTCAAATTGGATGTCCTTCATATGTCCATCTACATGTCTCTTCATAATCTGCTAAGCCCTCAGTAGATGCCTCTTCAATTCCTCCAACACCATGTTCCTCTCCTCAAAATACTTCTCTACTGAAGAAACTGGGATGCTTTTATGCACAAAGTGTACCAAGTGAGGTGAAAGGGGGGAAATTATTTATATTATGTACATGAAATTATTAGAAATCCCAGAAATTAATATATAAGCCCCTTCTAATATTTATGGAAATGCTAAAACTTAAATGAGTGTTTTCTATATCAAGCCAAAGCATATATAACATTTATATGATTTTAAGGAAATAATTAGAAATCCTACTATTGCATAAATTAACATATATGCCCCCTCTGGCATTCATATGCAATAGCCAGCATCTATGAGACAATATTAATGCCCTAACAAGACCCGTGAAAAATAAAAATTCTAATCCTTAAGCCATCAGAAATTGACAAGCCCCAACAATACCACACAAGAAGAAAATGTGGTGCTTATGATTCTAGCAGATCTAAATTTATGGAATATTGGGAGACGGGTTAGATGACATCTTGTCAGCAAATAAAACCATTTTACCAATAGCTAGATGGAAACTATTAGGCATTACACATGAGGAATTAGGAAAGAAATAAACTTATATGCTTACATTTAAATTAATAATATTATTTCAAGATGAGCTTCTCTTTAGCTTCAGAAATTCAATCTTCTCTTCTCAATCTTTTAAGTATTTCTCAACATGTAATCAGTCTTTATAGAGAGATTGAATGAGTATTTGTGTATCCCCAACATTTCCTAGGAGGGTCGTGAAAGGGTCCATCTACCAAGATATAAAAAGTAAGTTATATTGGTCCCTAAGGATAGGATAGTGTGTCTTTAGCCACAGTTGTGACTGAGAGCAGACAAATGTAAGTTTCTTTACAAGCTTCGAGAGTATAGTAGGATGGTGAACTTCCAAAGAGAAGAATCATAAATTTCCAAAGAGAGAAATATTTATGATGTAATAGTAGGGGATATGAGTCGGACCTTGATATATCACTGTGAAATATCTATTTTTACTTGCATTTACTTGTCTTTACCTTTTTAACATTTTACTTTGCAAGCTTATTTTGTAAGTTGACTGTTTACAAATTATTTATCTGCTTACAGAAATGAAAATTTATTATTCTACCAAAAGTTTAACAATTCTGTTGACTATTATGGGCTCTATCATTCATCAATAGATATTTCATGTATCATGGATTTTGAATTTGCTTGGATGCTATGGGTTTGGAGCGACTAATAAAAGTGGCAGGAACATATTAGATTTTGCTTTAGCTTATAATTTTGTAAATGCTTATAACTTATTTATGAAAAGAGATGATCATCTCATCACTCATAAGAATGAATGTAGTAAAACTTAGATTGATAATTTTCATATAAGAAAAATAGATCGTTCAGATTACAAAGATTATAAAGTTATTCCGAGAAAAATTTTATATATTCAGCATCGCTTATTAGTTTTGGACTTTAAGATGAAGGAACAGAATATGAAAAAAATAAAGTAAAATATAGTCATAAGATTAGATGGGGGCATTAAAAGAACACTAATAAAAATATTTTTAAGATTAAGATTCAAGATCTTAAGATTTCGACCATGCATGAGAAAATTAATGTTATGTAGGAAAAGAATAATTAATAATATTAAGAATGCTGCATAGCAAGCATATGGTTGGAATATCAAAAGGAAAAGCTCCTAACAACAAATTATATACTGCTAAAATCAAAATGTGTAAAAAAAGATAAAAAATAAAAACTTTACTGTAAAAATTAATTTAGAAGTAAAAGCTTGAAAAAATTAAAAAAAAAAATATGAGGGGGTCCGTAAGAGTCTAAGAAAGCAACATTCAACAACAACAACATCAAGCCTTTATCCCACTAAGTAGGGTCAGCTACATGAATCTTTTTTCTCCATTGAGCCTTATTAAAAATTAAATTTTCATTTAAATATAATAAGAAAGATCATTTCTAATATTTTCTAATCAAGTCATTTATGCCTAAAGAAGATAACCTATTTAAAATACAAAATATGTAGTTATTTCATTTCAAAATATAAATAAAATAAAGAAATAAGATATTTAAAGTGAATAGATTGTGATCCTAAACTATCCCTATGCTTGTTGGAGTGAATCTTATCATAGTATTAAAAAGATCATCCATTATCTTACTAGCATAATATTTTTTGTTCACCACTAAATAACATGTTTATCTTGGGGTTTGATGTGCTTCAATGCTTATAGCATGTGTGATCACTCAACCTACCATCATCGTGCTTATATGTTATATTACTAGCACATATGGATTTGTCTTGCTTCACACCATTATATTGCATAGCTTTTGTATAATTTTAGAACGTATTGTTGTAATTAGTTTTTTTGTCTCTGTTGGAAAAATTATATCCGGGTTTGAACTGAAAAAGTTTGCTAAGAAACTCAAAATGCGGCTTCCACACCAAATTCACCCGTGTTGTATCCTAGGCATAGCATCAAAATATTTTGATGGCTGCAAAAAGTTAATTAACATGATAAAAAGAGGAAAAAATTACATATGATGAAGAATGAAGACAAAATCTAAAACGATAATTTTATCAGTACAATCACATGTTCCACATTTATTAGCAGGAAAAAGCATATTCAAATTCAAGCTTTATAATCACCATGGCTCATTGCAGAGGTTGTACTGAACTGTAACTTCACGAACAAATCTTTGTTGACGTAGTGCATTCTGAAGAACCAAAATAACCAGAACTTCAATAAAAAAGGCAAGATTTGGTCATAATAAAACTAAGCAAATCATTGAAAGTAAATTATATGTGAGCAAATTAGCATATTAGTCTGGAACCTCAAAATTATAAAACAAAAAGTATTGAATTGCATCAAACAAGAAAAGAGTAGCAAGGATTGAAATATGTGAAGCTGTATTTCGATAAATTAAATGGAAATCAAAATCAAAGAAAAGCTAGTTGTGACAATATGTTAAGCACGAACCATTCTTGCAGATTGTGTAAGTGTTAGAATTTTAGATCTCACTTGATATAAACCTAATTTCAAGTTGAATTTTAGCACAATCAGCAGAGTCAACAAAATTTAATTACAGCTAATGGTTGTTCTAAAAGTCCATTAAAGACATGGCATGTACACATGCATGAATTTCGAAAAATCACTTGCAAAATATCCATGATAAACACAATACATGTGCCCAGCTCTGTTAATGGTGAACGGTTCTTGGTTTAACTGCATTGACCAATCAAACCGATCTAATTAGGTTGATTTGTTTGATTGGCCAAAACATTGGTCAATAATTCAGATAAGATTGTCAAATACATTGGTTGTATGATTTGATTAAAATATTCACCAAACAATATTAACCAAACTAGACAATGGATGCTAGCTATCAAACATGCATAAGGTCGCATCAATGCCCATGAAGGTCACAATCAGCATCTGGGCATCATAGTTGGCTTCATGCAAAGACTATATCGGGAATTTGGTGACTACAATCATTTGTCACATTGCAAGTGCATTCATGGGAGCATGAGTAATAGGCATGTGTGCATTCAAGCATATGAACCATGCATACCACTAAATATATTATTGTCAATCATCAACCAATGACCGCAATAGTCACCGCCATCAGATCACTAGCATCAAGCAACTATTAATGTATAATAGCCACTGTCGATGACATACAAGCATGCTTGCATACAAGCGCATGTATACATGTTTCTATGTGCCTGTTTATCCATATGCATGCATGGGCAGAGGTGCACATAAGTTGACAAATGTCAGCTATCCCTAGCTTTATTCAACTATTATTACGGTTAATTTGATACAATAATTTAAATCATCATCCCAACTATTTTAGCTCAATATTATGAATTATTGTTTTTTCGTTCATTCCAATTTAGTGTTACTTGAGGTGTGAGATGGCAAACCTATTCATCCAAATCAATTTCAACATCTATCCATGTTAACTTCTGACCTTTCTCTTTCCTAATAACCCAAAATTGATTTTCTCTCCCATCGATTGGGTACATAATCTATCCTTAGGGGATACATGTCGAAATCACCTAATTGTATTTCCAATCACACTATCTTCAATAGTATTATAATAATTAGTTTAAAATAATCATACCTTCATTTATCCTTCTTAGTTTTGCCACACATACATCTTAATATTCTCATTCCTACTACACTCAACTCAATAATCAAAGAGCTTTTTTTACATTATTGTCCAACATTTAAATTCATATAACATTACTAGTTTAATTGAAAATTTAGAACATTTAATTTAATTTAAATCTACATGATATTCTATAATCATATAATACTCCTAAAGCGCTCACAACCTTCACTTTAGAAGTTATATACTTAATCTTCTATATAATAGGTCACAAAAGACAAAACTTATCACACAAAGGTATCAAATTATGTTAGAATAAAATATTGATTGATAACTTTTCATATCACACCACTAAAATTCTATATGATATACTGAATCATTATTTTACTAATCCTAAGTCCTCTATCTTCCAAATATTTGTCCATTATTCTAATTTTCTATATCAACAAATATACTAACAAATTAGAACCATGTCATATGCAAAAAAAAAAAATATACACCAAAGGACAAGAGACCTAACTTTGAATATCCTTTATAAGAATTCCCATAACAAATTCCAAAAAATCTGAACTTAAAGTTGGCCCTTGATGTAATCCTAAGTAATTAGGATCTCTATGATTTCTCCATAATTATTAATATTAGTCAGTACTTCATCATTCATATATATATATATATATATATATATATATATAACTAATTCAATATAATTTTGACACGTATATCATCAACTTAATGTGCACTAGGGGTGTAAAAGAGTCGAGTTTTAACACTATCGAGCTTAGCTCGTCAGTCAGAAAGCGAGCTCGAACTCAAGCTCGAGCTAGAGTCGAGCTCGAAAGGCGAGCTCGTACCACTGTTAACGAGTTCGAGCCGGCTCGCGAGCCTCGGCAGTTTGGGCAGCCTTCGAGCGAGTCGTCCTCCTTGTCCGCGTCATCCGCGTCGAGCTCGACATCGGAGAAGAAGGTTGAGCGTCGGAGAAGAAGTTTGAGCGTTGAAAATAAAATATATTTTGTTTTTCGTATGGGGAGAAGAGAAAAGCTGAGATAATTAATGAGATTTAATAAAAAAACAAAAACAAGCTGCAGCTTCTCACCTTTCCCAAAAAAACAATAACAGTTGTCACCAATTTTCATTGGTTAGATTAAAAAAAATTAACTTTATTTATTTTTTTTATGGAAGGAAATCCGAAATAGTATCTTTTTTTTTTTTTTGGAATTGTCGCTTCCATTTTTTGGAATTCCCGCCCAATGCCTTTGCCTTCGTCATTTGGAATTGCCGCCTGGCCATTTTAGTTTTTTTTTTTTTAATTCAAATAATCAATCGAGCTTGGCTTGCGAGCTCACGAGCCAAGCTCTCATTGAGCTCGAACTCGAGCTCGTTTAACAAATAAGCTCCAGTATAAGCTCGAGCTCACGACTCGATAAGCTCGGCTCGCAAGCTCATCATCGAGTCAAGTTCGAGCCGACTCGGCTCACTTACACCCCTAATGTGCACCAAATTAATTCTAAAAGCATTCAATCTTATGCCTTCTCAAGATCAACAAAAATAATATTAAAATATTTAATTTTTTCCTAACATAAGAAAAATGTGTCCATAGAGAGCTTTCTAGCATGAGACCAAATTATTCTCCAAGCTAAATTATATTTTTTTCCGATTTTGGTGGATCTACTTTCATAATTAAGTATTCTTCTTGCTTCTTCAGTATTCTTCTTGTTTCTTAAGAAATGTATTTTCCATGACAAGATCTTAAGGTATTACAAAATCAAAGCATTATCAATTATTCCATACCCAGGTATTACAAAATCAAATCATTATCAATTATTCCATACCCACCATGGATCATCTCATAGTTCATCCAATTAAAACCTATATCAAAATTTAAATCACTTCCAATAAATATCATTTATTCCTCAAGTATATGTTATATATTAAGTTCACCCACCTCTTCCCCTAAATCTAATCCAACTTATAGAAAATTAAAGCTAACTACATTTATATTAGCCTCATAATTATATATCTTAGTGGAAATATCCTATCACTAATGCTACTCATCTCAATAATTGTAACTTTCAACTATTTAATCACAAATATCCCAGCCTCACTCCTATTGTTAACATTTCTAACATAGACTAAGAGAAAAAGCCCAAAAATAGTCTACCGACTTTTAGCAAGTAACTAATTATAGCACCCGACTTTTAACAATTTATAGCTGGTTGTTTTCACATGTAAGTTTGAGTAGGAGGCAGTTGTGTTTTTACCATTTCTAGCACTATAACGACTTCTAGTTCTTGTCATGCTTGTTGATTTGTGTATCTAAACCTTAACTTAAACCGAGGCCTTTGTCTTCATCAATAGCTAGGTGTTTCTGTACTCACTAGGCCTTCTTAAATGACATTTAAGAAGAGGAATTACTGTGAAATTAACTGCATGGATTCCACTGCGAAACAAGTGTTTATAGTAACAACCAGGATGACCACGCAAGATGGCAAATCTTTAATTCAAAGTTTGAGTGTATGAGTCAAAATTTTAAAATAGGATTGCTGTTTAGTAGTAAGAAAAAAATTAAAAGTTAAGCAAAACTAGTTAATTGCAAGAGGAAAAGCAACAATGTTCACAAAAAATGTGATGAAGGACTACAATGTTCTAAATGTAAGCGGTAAGAATTTACACGATTTCTTGAATAAAACAATTAAGATTAACTAGTAGCAATCAAACGATAAAAGAAAATAAGAGAGGGGTGCCTATGTTTAGTCTAAGCCACTTGCCAAACGCTTGAATTATCAAATAATTAGAATCACAATAGTAAGCAAATACAGTAGCATTCAACAAAATCCCTACGCTAACAATAAGATTAGAAGCATAGAAAGTTATCTCAATTCCTACGCTTACTAAGCTTGACAGAGATAGGCGAACAAGAACTTCATGAGTCAATTAAAATCACAAGAGTGAGTTAAACTACGAAAATACGAGAGTAGGAAGATTGGGAAACCTTTGCCACATTTTGGATGTAATACTCCACTGAACGGTATCAAGTTGCTCCTCTACGGCTTCGACGATAGTATCTAGAATGTGCTCCACGTATTCCTCGACGGTCTTGTCGATATTAGGATTGACGTTGAAGAAAGCGGAGTGAAGGATGTGCACGAAACCTTGATCTTCGTAGGCAACGCCATAGTCAAGGTCGGGATCGGCCATGCATCGATCTCGTTGCGTCGAAGTGTTGAAGGAGGTTCCCCCTTGCTGTCCTTGTCGTTTTCCCTTTGAATGAAAGGGGCTTCTCTCAAGAATTCAAGTAGGAGAAGGCAATAGAGGTGGCCGGCCAAGGGGAAGGGGTTTGGGGAAATTAGGTTCAGATTTTGGTTGAGGGAAAAGTGTTTCAAACAATGCTCTAATTAATCCCTACGATTGGGATTAATTAAAAAGAGAGGATGAGGGTATGGGCCGCGGCAAGAAGAGGAGGTTAGGGGATTTGTTTCCAAATCTTAATATTTGATTTTGGAAAGAAATGAGGTGAGGGGGCTTAGGAAATTTCAGCCAAGAGAGGTTTGGATATTTGAGTAATTCCAAAAAGGGGAATTGGGTTTTAGGAAATAAAGAAAAGAGGGGGGGGGGGGGGGGGGGGGGAATGGGGGGGGGGGGGGTGGGGACTTATGGCTAGGCGAAGGGGTTTAAGGAAGCTTTTAATGCTTCCTTAAATTAGGGAGTTAAATTAAGGATGAAATATTTCATTCTAATTTAACTTAAATTAAATAAGCAAGGATTTGAAAACTTTCCTAAAATAGCTTTCTTAAATTAGAAAGAATTCAAATTAAAATAATTTGAATCTTGAATTTAATCCTTCATAACTTAAGAGTGGTTGTTTATGGAAAGTATTCAAGAGGGAACTGAATTTGTGGAGGGAAGATGGGAGGTGGGGTAGGGCTGGCGGCTAGGTGGGTTTCTGGGGAGTTTTGGCGGAGGGATAGTGGGGGTTATGAAGGCCGACGGCTTGGGTGGTGAGGTGGGGTCAGGTGGCCGGCAGCCAAGTGATGAAGGGAAAGGGAAGATAGATAAAGTAGAAGAACCACGAACCCGGCCATCTCAAAGGTTGGTGGGTGGTCCAAATTTCCTCTCCAAGGGACCTCGCTCCAATCTCTCAAGCTCTCATAAGAGCTAAAACAAGAGGAAGAATTTTTATCATTCAATCATTAACCTTAGAAGAGAAACATAAGGGTTATAAATAGCCTCATACAAAAGGACTAAAAAAATAAAAAGATGACAGTGCCCTTAGGGCTTACATACGACCTCCCTTAAGGGGTACAAATGGAAAAAACAAATACAATATAAATAACAAGAGACAAATAACATAATAAAAACAAATACATGAAAAGACTCAAAAATACATCGACTCGATCGTGGCCGTAGATCGACGGCCACGCCTCTGATATACTTTCCATACTCTGATGTCCCCATCAAAATGACAACATATAATGTAGATTCATTTTCAGTAGATATCATTGTTTGTTTCTCTCGTATATTTCAAAGCATGAGGTAAGTCATTCATGGATGGTTTGGCCATTGCAGGAGCAGACATGTTCATGTAGTTATCATAACAAGACCCTATCCTCCAAAATTTTAACCGAGAAATTTGCAAGCAAAATGAAAATTAATCCACAATACAAGACTATTTTTTTCACAAGAGAAGTTATTGATGAGCTGAAGTTACATTTTTCAGAGTCACAAGCAAGAAAGGCTTTTCAAAAAGACTCAAAAGTTGTTGCACATAAAGGAGGAAGACCAATTCAAGAATATTTGGAATTAATACTTGGAAATCACAACAACAAATCCAATCACATCAATTCAAGAAGATTTGTATGTGTCGTAATCAACATAGGAGAACTTAGCCATAACAATTTTGTCCATAACTACTACTCAATGGACAATTATAGGAGAATTTATGAGTTCAACATTATACCTATTAATGGTCTTGGTAAATGGTCTGAAAGTAAAAAAGTATATCCATTGTCACCAAAGTATAATAAACCTAAGAGAGGTTGCCCGCTAAAGTTGGAAAGAAGGGCTCCATATGAGCAACTAAATAACTCATAAAGATGAAGCTTAAGCAAGTTAACTATGATCCTCCATTACAAACAAATGTAAATATAGCAGCCACAATAGCAAAAGTTGTGGTAGGATAAAAGGAAAAAAAACACAAAAATGCTTCTTACCCAAATACTTCAAGATGAAGAAGACCCACAATACAATACAATATCACAAGATGAGTTGCATCTTTAATAATTAAATTCAAACAGCAAGAATGAATTAATAAGTGAAGAGACGGCACATTCCCGATTGATTTAGAAAATAGGCAAATGCACCAACTTCTACTTTTATTTTACTATATTTATTCAATTCTATGGACAGAACATGATCAAAATTGTAGTTCGCAAGCCACCAATATTGAATGTGTGCACCTAAGGATCATCAAAACAAAGCTAATAGTATGTTAGTGCACAAAATTTTATAATCAACTCTGTATTTAGATTTTCCTTAATATTATGTTTGTATGAGCTCCCATTTAGATGTTTTGGAGGAGATTATCAGTGGACTTTTTCTTTTGTAACAAGGGTTTTGGAGTTTGGTGATCAATGACACTATTTTAGAAATAAGAATTTTGGAGCTTTATAATCAATTATAATATTTTTGTAACAAAGGCTTTGGAATTTTGTATGACTTACTATTTGTTGATTATTCACTCTTATTATTTAATTGGTTAAATTTCATTATGTTGTTGTTATTTATTTAAATTTAATAAATGATGAATATGCGATATTTAAGAAGAGAAATCACATTAACTTGGTATTATTCTAATTTTGGTTTTTATTTTAATTTAATAAATGACAAAAATGTGATTAATTATAATGTGTATGTATTCCAATGATTTGTCACATGCACTTGAAAGATCTAAAATACTCTCATATTAAACTTTAGATTTAATTATAACTATTATTTTTTGTTATGGAACCAAATTGGATCATTTTTCAATAATTAAGGGACTAAATTGTGACAATGCAAAAAGTTTGGGATAAAATTGGGTACTTGCTAATAGTCGAGTGATTATTTTGGATTTTTATCTGTTAAATAACTTGTATCATTCCCCAATATACACCAATTCTTTTGCTTTCCTACTTAAAGTTCTCAAATACAATATAAAAAATATAATTTTCATTTTAGAATTAGTCAACATGTTAAATTAAGATGCATCAAATAGGGGTGATGTCATAACCAAGCATTGCGTGCTTCTAAACAAAATTAGATTAAATTGAAATATGTCATTTGGGAGTCACAGCTTATCAAACTGTTATCTCTTATCTACTTCTCACTGCAACAAGACTAGATTTTGACTTGTTGCTTCTGGGTAATGCTTTAACATAATAAATTCAATTTTAAATTCATTTTTTTAGTTTTGACATAACTTGTAAGATTAGCAGTCAACCTAATATGAACCATCAACATTTCTCATCCTAACTTCAGACTAGCAATGATTATTCATTTTTTTAATGGTTAAACACTTTAAAACAAAATTAAAAACCAGTTATTTTGGTTAGTTTGATAATAGGATAATGAATAGAAGAAAAGCTAATTGGGATAATACATTATTTTGGTTCATTAGCTTGGTCAACAATCCAACCAAATCATCCACTTGCACACCCTTAGGAAATAGTTTGGTCCAGTTACAAATGTTTGTAAAAGTAGTTGTATAGCCATTGTGGAGACAGTAACTTTTATGAAAGTTGTTGTGGAATTATAATTTTTTCTTTTAACAAAAAAGTAAAATAACAGCTTTCTTACAACTACGAAACTCTAACAAATATAGCTGTAAGAAATTGCTTCTCACTATAATTTTTTTTTATAAATAATAAAATAGTAGACAAACAGCAGTGTGACAAATGATATAAGAATTAAAATAGTGAAATAGTTGCCCCAAACAAACCCTTAATCTCTCCTCTAAATGCTTTCTCACCTGCCCCATCAACACTAGCATGTAATCAAATCAAGTTAGATTATAGAAAAACATAAAAGAAAGAACTAATTAGATTGATTTTGAATGGGTGCATTCTGATTGAAAAACTAATTTGAATGAGATCAGGATCTAACAATCTGAATGCAACTACCCACTGGCTCTAGAAAAAGGTGGTGTATTTTAAACACGCTCGACCAAATACATGTTTTTTTTTTATTTCATCATGTAACACAATAACAGGCAGAACTACCCCCAATTAAACTATAACTTTGCATTTTTTAATGGAAGAGCATAGTCCTTAATAAAGTGGTCATATAAAAGTAATCTTTAAGATCGTGTCCTTTTAATTCATAGAAGTGCATTCCCATATCCTTATGATGATCAACCCACCTAAGGAAATGAAAAGGAACGAATCCAGCAGATAGCAAAAGCTGCTATAAAGGATTTGACCAAAGCAACAGTTTAATCACAGAAGTAAACCAAAAAAATTATGAGTACCGAAGCTGCAGCCCTTGTCGTCATTGTCCTCTCAGCAGAAACAGGAGCAATTGTTGGCTCCACTGCAGATACATGGGTCCGGCGGGGCTCGAGATCAATAGTACCGCCACCTTTCTGTTAAAAAGTAAACGAATATAGATACATGGAGAATCAATAAAGCCTTATTGTACTATCAACCACAAAGTGTAATACATGAAAAGCTGCATGTTTCAGTGAACATGCAGCCTGCGTTTGAAAAATAAATGTTTATCAAAATTTACAGGTCCACAATTAAAAAGCAAAGGACAGAACTTATGGAAAAGCTAATATAAACTTCCAGGTAATAACTCAAAAAATAACAATGAAAATTTGAAACCTTGACAATGCAGCACCGCTCAATGTGAAAGCTGCAACCAATTCCAGCTCCCCAAGATCGAGAGCGGACATTATTTCTTAATGTTGAGGTGTAACCTGCATAAATTAGCAGTTGCAGCAAATTATATCAAAATGTGTAGTAAAAAGAGCGTGAATTTTTTTCATGCTGACACACCCACCTTATCAAGCATGGTCAGTCATAAATAAAAAACACATGGCTAAGTACAACTATGAAGGAGTGATAAACCATTTAGTGCATATAGCAAACACTTAGAACAATTCAAATGATATGAAATTAGTACTCAACAAACAACCATTTTTACACAGCTGAGGAACATAGTTGTGCTCAGTGTTGTTGATAGCTATCATGTACAATTCCTGGCTGAAGGCCTGCAGCACTGCAATTTAGTGCTTTGCTCCAGGACAAAGTGTTAGACGCTATAAAAGAGACATGAGCACTCCTCGCAGCACCTGCAGAGCTCCTAGAAATAATGCAGAGTAGTATTGTGTGCTTTTTAGGTGGTCATGAACAATTACCGATCCAGTCGACTACATTTGTATAAGAACAAAAGAAGCAAAGATTGTGGGCACCCTAGTTAACTAAAGTGGTGTTTTGCTTTGCAATTTGCACGTTAAAACTAAAAAGTCCACATATACTTTATGCTTTTCATTATTCATTCTTTTCTTAATTGCCTAAAGCAAGGGAGCTACACATCTCAAAGAAAGCAGAGCAAGATGTAACGACGATAAGGAAGAGCGATATGATGCGTCTTGGAAGTAAAAGCAGCAAGTAGATAAGAAAAATGCATGAACCAAATATTAAGGGTGGTTTTTTATTATCTCTTTAACAAATAATGAAAGATACAATTGATCTACTATTTAGATAGGTAGATCGGCTCTCCCACAAACTCTAGCCGCCTCTAGGAAACTCACAACAAATTCTAGAAAATAAGTTCAGCAAGCAAAAGATCAAACCCTAGAGAAAACTCCCCCTTAAATAGCCCTAACACACAATAATAGCCATTAAAGCCTTCCAAAAAATAAGCAAAAACACAACCAGGAAACCTTCCTAAACAATTAAAACCTTCCTAAACAACATAAACACAATTAGAAAATCTTCCTAAAAAACATCAACACAATTAGAAAACCTTCCTAAATAGCTCCCCCTTAATTATTTCTCCTTATATAATGAATAATATCTCTCCTGGGCCCCATAAGGGCGTATCATGATATTTATTATTAGTATGACAGTACACTGCCATGTTCTACCAATATAAGTATCCCATCAACCACTGCCATTACAACTTAGCATCTTTAAGCAACTAATTCTCTGTCCAAATGAGGTTGATTTGCTTAAAAGAAATAATCTTTGGTTTTAACAATCAACAGGTCAATATTACGTCAATGTGACACTAAGACTGTGTGTTTAACATTCCATCTGTATCTCCAAGCCAGCTCTTGACCTAGCCAAGTAAACTTCTATAGCCCTCATATTTAACACTCTCTTAATTTTATCAATCATGATGGAAGAATCCCATTTAAATGTTCAATGTGATAACAACATCATAACAAAAAATTACAACTGCTCCCCACAGTAGAGTATGAGCCCGCACCATGTACAAATCATTAAAGATATGATGAGGACATCCGACAGTGAACGCTTATCTGAGGAAGAGACGAAGATCAACAGCCGAGATCATTCCAATTTATCTTAATTTACTAATTGTATTTTTTTTTATTTATTTATTTTTCGTTTTTACCCTCTCTTGAGGGAGTTGTCCTTTGTAAGCCCTAGAGGCATGTTTGTCTTTCCTGAGTTTCTTTCATTTTGAGGCATATCTATAGGGGCCCTTGCTATTGTATTAGTATGATGGAGTTTTAATAAAATTTTGTTCTACGATTTTGCTCCTTTGAAGGACTTTGGTGTGATCCCTATGGGAGGGAATCGTAGTTTCCACCAGCCGCAGGATGGGTTCGAGCTCGTGGCTTGAAGTCCCTTGGCGAAGGGCAGCATAGTACTCATCAGTCGCAGGCTGTGTGAGGGTTCATGGTTTTATCTTTCTTTCCCTACACTTCTTTTCTCCTTCTCACTTAACCCTGTTCTACATCAATTTGGTATCAGAGACAGGTTGTGCAACCAGGATGTGTGCTCGACGGAGTCGAGCTTTCTCTCACCCTGGGAGAATGACGCTAACACATCCGACGGTGAATGCTTATCTGAGGAAGAGACAAAGATCAACGGCCGAGATCATTCAACTTTATCTTAATTTACTAATTATATTTTTTGTTTTATTTATGCATTTTTCATTTTTACCCTCTCTTTAAGGAGTTGTCCTTTTTAAGCCCTAGGGGCATGTTTGTCTTTTTTGAGTTTCCTTCATTTTGAGGCCTATATATAGGGGACCTTGCTATTGCATTGGTATGATAGATTATTAATAAAAAATTTCTGCACTCTTGTTCTTAGGGAAGAACTTTGGTGAGAACCCTATGTGAGGGAAGCGTAGTATCCACTAACCGCAGGATGTGTCCGGGCTCGTGATTTGAAGTCCCTAAATCAGGGCAGCGTAGTACTCATCAGCCCCAGGATGTGTCTAGGCTCATGGTTTTATCTTTCTTTCCCTACACTTCATTTCTCCTTCTCTAATTCCCCTTCTTCTTTCTTCAAGCCGCCGCCTTAACCCCCCCTTTCTCAACTAGTCGATTCTCCCTTAATCGTCGGCCAAACCCTCCATAGCCGCCAACCAAGCTTCCCAGCTTCCCCTCCTAGCACCAACGGCCCCTTCCTCCTTTCCCCTTGAACCGCCAGTTTTCACAACCTTTCCATCACCCCAACCGAGAACCCCACCACCACTCCAAAGCCCAACCGGCCACCCCTTCCTTCATTGGTTCCACAAATTTAGTCTTGCATTCAAAGCCCTTCCTCCTTTAGTCCTCTTAATTTAGCAATGAATTTGAATTCAAAATTTAAATCAAATTGAATTTGAATTTGTTACCTAATTAAGGATTCCTATTTTAAAAAAGTAAGTCTTTCCTATTCTAACCCCCTTAATTTAGTAACAAATTTGAATTCAAAATTCAAATTAATTTGAATTTGAGTTTATTTCCTAAATAAGAATCCCTATTTTAGAAAAGTTACTTAAATTAGATCTAATTAAATTTCTAATTGGATTTTATTTATATTAATTTTCCTAGTTAGTAAATCTCTTTTAGAAAATCCCCAAATCTCTCAAATCTGAAATTAAAATCAGATTAAATTCCCTATTCACATTTATTGCTTGGGTCCACATACATTGTATTTGGACACTTCTCCTCCCTCCCTATATGGTCGGCCCCCTCTCTCTCCTTCATTAAAGCTCTCAATCAACCTCAATCAACCCCTATTAGTCGCCCCCCTTATTCCCCATTAAGAATAGTTTGAATTTCAAATTATTCCCTCCCTCCTTTTAGGAAATATGAAATTAAATTCAGATTTCTTAATTTATTTCCTTCCTCTCTCTCTCTCTCTCTCTAGGCCGGCCCCTCCGCTCTCTCTCTAATCCACTTAATTCCCATTAATCCCTCCCCTCTTAGAGCCTTAATTCATCCTTTATTAAAGGATAATTTTTCTTTTCATCCCCATTTGAAATTCAAGTTTCAAATCACTCAAATACCAACCCCTTTCCCTTTTCCCTCTAAGTTTCAAACCAAGCAATTATAACTTTCCATATTAACAATGTTTTAAATTAGGAAGGTTTTCAAAATTCAAATTTTAATCATGGCTAGCCCCTCCTGTTCTACATCAAGTTATCTCCTAAACAACAAGATATGCCGCCACTAAGCTCAACACTCAAGAACAAGATTTAAAAAGGCGATATCAGAAATCGAGGCGTTTTGTCTTAGCGAGGCTAGGCATAAGCCGCGAGACAAAACAAGGCATAATTGCTTCTTACAAAGCTGTCGAAGTCTAAACAAGCTCGAAAGGGAAGATGGATTGTTACCATGTCACAAAGAACTCATCCTAACTCGAAGCGAGGCCGAAGCAGACGAAGCTGAAGAAGTCGAGGCCGAAGTCGTGCACACGAAGCCAAAAAAGCATTTCCTTCCTTCGTTGCGAGTTGCAGAAGGGGGGCGAAGATTAGAACAAATGTTTTAAATCGACAAAGCCCTAAATCTAATAAGTTCTCTCGACTATTCCAAAATAAAAAAAAATAAAAATAAAAAGATTGAGGCAGCGCCTCAAGCTACCTCAAGGCGTACACCTCGATAAAAAAAAATCATAAGCCTCAGTCAAACCACCAAGGCTTAAGCCTCGAGGCATCCAATTTGTGCCTCGAATAAAGACGCGCCTCGAGGCATACGCCTCAAATGCTTTTGTAAACCATATACTCAGGAATAACATCCCTCTTCATCACAGCCATACACATATATAGTCTATGACTCTATAATAAATGGTTGTACCTTCTCTTGTTATAAATAGAGCGATAGCTCTCTTATTGCTAATGTTTCATTTAAGAACTAATAAAATTCAGCTTCATGTCTTCTCTCTCGCATTATACTTACTTAAACGCTGCTTCTCTAGTCATCTTTATTAAACTTCAACATGGTATCAGAGTAATTTAGTAGATAGCCATCATAATGAAATTTGACGGTGCATACTTGTCTACATGAATTTAGTTTAATTACAATAGGGGGACAACCAAATCTCATGTATAATGACAAAACTGAGCACCCATTCCAGCATCCATAACTTATTTATATAAAATATTCTATAGCGCTTCATGATATAGATACATATAATAGGGGCAAGGATAACGTATGGAAGGAATCTGATAGATAATCAAATAATATATAGGAGAGAATAAGATAAGTAATGTGTTTCGTTTTACCTTTTCATGTTGTAACTGGAAATCATAGATTAGAAAGCTCTTCAGTTAAGGATACTCAATTGAATCTAACAAAGTGATAGGTGGTGTTGCAAGAGAAGATCAAGGTCATTGAAAGTAAACTTTTGGAGTAAGCCATAAGAGAGATACAGATGGATATAACAGCTTAGGGAGGATGAAGAATGGATAATAAAGGTTAAGGAAAAAAGAAAGAAAGATGTAGACTCCTAAAAA